GTGTGGGACTAAATCACTTCCATTGACTGTCCCTATTAATCAAGTCCGTGTCCTCCACTTCACACAAATGCTTCAGTGTACTCATCAAGTTTATTGTTTCTTTTTAATAAACACCCTGTGCAGTATAAATGCAGATGGCATATTGCATATGGACGGGCAAGTTCTGATGGGCCGCTCTGGTGATTTAATGCTATGTGAATATGACCTGCACTATTGTTGGATATCGTTTTGCAAGGAGTTCAAAACTTCCTCCATCATTGCAGCATGAGTAAATCTTAGAGGCATGTGCAGACTCTGGCGTTTATAAACAGTGGTGCAACTTACTGAGGTAGACCTGCAATGATGAGGCTAAACATGGAATAAGGGAGGTTAAGAAAGATTACTTGAGGGCCTGCTAAGCTGAAGTGGTTGAACTCTCTGCAGAAGAGTTCACGATGTCTCTGAGGACTCTGCACTCTTTGCAAACAAAGAGCACGAAGCATTCCCCATGGGCTGATCATCACTGTCGGCAAGGATGAGGATACACAGATCCATCATCTCTTCAGCATGGCATGCAGCTTTAATTATATATTTGTTGGGGGAAATTAGGCCATCTCACTGGTTCATGATGTTTGGAAAAATTTTCACCTGTCATTATAAATGTCAACATAGTACATTTCCACAGCTAATTTTTTTGTGCACTTTGGAACTGATCAGAGTACCTCCATTCCTTGTTTTGGGAAAACAATCCCTTTCCAGAGAAAGTGAGGGTGTATAAATTTTGGCATTGTCTTGCTCCTAGTCTTCTGTCTTTCAGTAATTGTAGTCAGATTTTTATTTTACTTTCTAGATTTAAAAACCTGTGAATTTTATAACTATGAAATCATTGTTAAAATAACATTCTCCCTATTTATAACTTAATATACTCCATATTGTAAGATTGAATCTTCCTTGTCAAACACTTGTCAATGACTGTGACAGTCAGTTTGCCAATATTTGATAAACCAAGACATCAATTTCCAAATTATTTTCAACACATCAAAAAAGAATCTTATATGAAGGCTATGTTGTTTTTGTTTTGAAAAATTAGGTGTAGTGTTTGCCTAATAAGTTTCTATCAGAGACTGAAGGAAAGTTCTTCTTCCATCCTTCCTTCCTTCCTTCCTTCCTTCCTTCCTTCCTTCCTTCCTTTCTTCCTTCCTTTCTTTCTTTTTTTCTTTTGTTTTTGGCCCACAATTATGGATGCTCAGGGCTTACTCCTGGATCCGCACTCAGAAATCACGCCTGTTAGGGCTTGGAGAGCCGAATGGGGTGCTGGGATTGAAATCAGCTGCTTACTAGGCAAGAATCCTACCCGTTATACTATTGCTCTCTCCAAGAAGGCTCTTTTTCAATGTTCTAGTTCATTGCTTCCTGACTGGTTAAACTGCTCAAAGACTTGGCTCAGCTGCTATATTGGATGCATGCCTAGGAAGGGCCTTCAGTGTGGGTATTAGGTTATTTCATGCCTAGGAGAGTTGCACAAAGCACCAGTTCTAAGTGTTTGCTCTGAAATGACTTGTGGTTAGGACCACCAGTATCTATAACAACAGAATCAACTTGTTTTCATCTGAGGCCAATATGGCTTATAACTGATAACATCCATGACCCCGGCAATGGCTTTCATAAAGCCCCTTAAAATAATTCCAAGGGATCATCATGAAGAAAGACAGTGAGGGGAAGAAGAGGGTTTTACACAAGATGAGATATGGGTAAAAGTATATCAGAAGAACTTGTGCTAACTCCTTTATTTAAAGGAAATGAAAGTGTGCTTCTACCCTCTACCTTTTCATGACTACAAATGCAAAAATGTCATAAGGAACCTTCCATTCCATTCCAATCTATGTCAAATGCCCACGATAGAAAGGAGCTTTTCTTCAGCATAGATTCATTAGCTTCTGAACTATAATGTATGTAGTTGATTTTACCTTTTATTTTTCTTTTTTTTAAATATAAATGCTGTGATTCACAAAGTTGTCCATAATACCATTGTTTTCAGGTATTCACTGTTCCAAAACCAATCCCATCACTGTTGTGACCATTGTCCATCAATGTCCCCGGTTTCTCATCCTCTCCCCCCTCCCCAACCTGTTCCTTTAGCAGGCACAAATGATTTTACCTCATATTTCTTGTCACAGTGAAGTGGCAAATAGACTTACCAGAAAATATATGCATAAAAGTCAATTTGTGATCATTGTTATATTTCACAATGATGCTACTAAAGATATTTAGAATTTACTGAGCTGGTGGGTGCCTTCTGTGTTATTGTTTTTGTTCATGGAGCTTGGTGATCTTCTCTGCAACTTTCCCATCAAGTTTCCTGTTCTCTTACTGGGATGTTAGTACTCTAAAATTTGGAGGTATCACTTCAGGAGCTGTGGACTTGGAATAACTTGGTGGCTGGTCAGCTTGATGAGGTCTCAGTTGGAGAGCTGGACTGTTCAGAAGCCAGAAGAGTGTGGTGGGGACCCCTGGTGCTTCCAGTGGGGAAGGGAATCTGCCAGTCCCTATTCCGAGGAGAACTCAGAGTTCTCAGCCTGGAGACCCGGTATACCTGGAACAATTCAGTGGCTTGGCATCTCTTCCTCTCCCCTCCCCCCCCTCCCTTTCTTCCCTCCCCTCTCCTCCCCTTCTTCTCTCCCCTTTTCCCCTCCCTGCCCCTTCCCTCCCCTTTCCTCCCCTCCCCTTCTTTCCTCCCCTTTTTCTCTCCTTGCCCTTTCCTCCCCTCCCCTTCTTCCGTCCCCTTTTTCCCTCCCTGCCCCTCCCCTTTCCTCCCCTCCTCTTCCCTCCCCTCCCTTTCCTTTCTTCCCTCCCCTCCTTTCCCTTCCCTCCCCTCCTTCCATTCCCTTTCCTTCCCTACCCTCCCTTCCCCTTCTCCTTTCCCTTCCCTTCCCTTCCCTTCCTTTTCCTTCCCTTCCTTCCCCCCATTCCCATCTCTTTTCTTTCCTTTCCTTTTCTTTTCTTGTGGTGCTAGGGATTGAACTGATTCTCACACATGCAAGAAAAGTACTCTGCTATTTAGCTACATCCCTGACCCTTGTATAATTTTATTTTATAGTTGTTGAAGAACAAGCTACTCAAAGTCTTTACCAGGATCATGCAGACATAATTCCACCATGAGCCAGGTTCCCAGGCTTGCAAGTTCCATGATCATAGCATTATTTCACTAAGCACAAAATAATTTCACCAAAGATTTAATCTGGAAGAACTTTGTAATGGTCCTTTGGAACAGGGAGTGGAGAGGAGAAATAATAGAATTTAATTTTGAATTTCCTGTTAAAACAATAGCAATCACATTTGTTGGTTATAACTATCTTACATTCCTTTAAAGGTAACCTTTTTACTTTAGTAGGAGAAGCTAATCAAGAGGGGAAAAGTTTGCAACCCCCCCCTTATTTAATAATTCAATTTAATTTTCTTACTTTAAAACAGCAAAGTTGCTCTGAGCAGGTGTTTTCTCTACAGATTGTGATCTTGTCCTGAGAGGCAAATTGAAAAATTTAGAAGCACAGCTGACTGCTTGAATCTTGCCCAAGTAGTTGCTGGCCAATAGAGTCTTTTTCTTGGCTTCCTTCTTCTTCTTCCTCCCACTACCTCCTCTGGGTGAGAATGATGCAGCTGGTCTGTTTATAAATGCTGGCTTTCCAACACAAGTTGATTTAGCCAGCAGTGAGTCAGAGCTGGTACAGCTCCCGAGTTCTTTCCTTGGAATCAAAGATGCTTATACGCCATTTTTATTTGTTCATTGACAAACCCTTGTTGAATTACTACCAACATAGCACGACAACTCAAAGGCCTGAGTTCCGAAAACTCTCTTCCAAGACTCAAAGTCACCCCTGCCATTTATGAGCACTATGACCTTAATAGATCATTTACTATGGGAAGCTTCAGTTCTCTTCGGAGAATTCTGACAAATTATTCACTGCTATGTCTTTGCTCTATTAGTGATGGAGTAATCATTCCTTTTCTTTCTTTCCCTCTTTTTGTTTGTTTGTTTGTTTGGGGGCCACAACTGGCAGTGCTTAGGCTCTGGCTTAGGCTCTTCCTCCTGGCTCTTCAGTCAGGAATCACTCTTGGCAGACTCAGAGGAAGATTTGGAATGGTGAGGATCAAATCCAGGTCAGCTGCATGCAAGAAAAGTGCTGTACTTGCTGTACCGTCTCTCTAGCCCTCATAATAGTTTCTTATAGAAATTTTGTGAGGATGGAGTGAGATAAGGCATATAAACTAAACAATCCATTGTAGAAACTCACAGCTATTTTATTGGGCAAACTGGGTTTGATAAGCTATTACCAGAAGGCAAGTTAATTTGCTCCCAGCCTCTCCTTTCTAATCCAAGCAGGCAGATCCTATAACGTTCCCTATCACCCTCAGATACTAAAAAGTTCTCTGATCAGTGTTAATGCCAAGAAAAGTCTCCTTTGTAAATGCAAATGTTTAGTCTTGTGTAATAATAAAATCTCGGCACTCTATTTAATTTAAAACATCTCTCTCTTTTACCCCAAGCCAGGAGGGCCAAGTAGAGGTAGTTGTGCTTTCAGCTCTTCCATTAGTTATGATATGGGGCTTCTCCAAGTCAAAGGACAAAGGAGATTTCAGAAAGAGGCCCAGCTGTCTAGTAGGTGGGGCTAGGCAAGGAGGCTCCCGTGCTTGGCAGTGGTCCAAAGTTGGCTTTCTGGTTGCTGCTGGGCAGGTGCCCTCAATACTGCCCAACTCCTTCCCCCACCCCTTACATTTCTCAGACCCAGCACTTTATGACCGTCTTCCTTCTCTGGGGACCATTACTAAGCTTTCATAGAATTTCTCCTCAACCCTTCCCACTTGGCTGGAGGTGCAGAGAAAGCACTTTCCTTCTTTCTGATAAAGGACATGGCCTTGCCACCGACCACCAATCAGCATGACTGGGGCAAAGATCAGCAAGATGAACTTCATCTTTAATGGCGTTTGATCATTTTATTGTTCCACTCTTTTCTTTCTTCTAGTGCCTTGGCTTGTGCTCAGTGAGATTTTTCCTGGTGGAATTCGAGGACGAGCCATGGCTTTAACTTCCAGCATGAACTGGGGCATCAATCTTCTCGTCTCTCTGACATTTTTGACTGTGACTGGTAAGAATTCTTGGTTTTCTGCCCTCTTGTACTCACTTTGTTCTTTGGATAAAGGTTAAGCAAATACAGTCACCTGAAAAACATTTTGTTGTGTGCATTTTCAAACACATTCAAGAGTAAAGAGTAAAGCAATGAGCCTCATGTACCTCTACTGACGAACTCATTTACCTATTTAATCACTTACTCTTCTGCTATTCAATTGTTTTGAGCCATATCCCAGATATAATATAATTTTATCTAAAATTTTAATATGATTATTTAAAAGATAATCTAAAATACATAACCACAATATCTTAGCACACATAAAAGTCTTGAAAACAATTTTTAGCATCACATATTCAGTCTGTGGTCACAGTGTTCTAATTGTATACTTGGTTTGAACAATGACCAAAACATAGAATTTACACAATATGGACAATCCTTCAAAAACTAGAAATCGAGTTTCCATATGATCCCACAATACCACTTCTGGGAATATATCCCAAGGATGCAAAAAAGCACAGTAGAAATGACATCTGTACCATATTTTTATTGCAGCACTGTTCACAATAGCCAAAATCTGGAAACAACTCAAGTGCCCTAGAACAGATGACTGGTTAAAGAAAGTTTGATACATCTACACAATGGAATACTATGCAGTTGTCAGGAGAGATGAAGTCATGAACTTTGATTATAAATGGATAGACATGGAGAGTATCATGCTAAGTGAAATGAGTCAGAAAGAGAGGGACAGGCATAGAAGGACTGCACTCATTTGTGGAGTATAAAACAACATAACATGAGGCTGACACCTAAGGACCGTAGATACATGGGACAGATAGATTGCTCCATAACTGGAAGCCTGCCTCATGAGCAAAGGGGAGAAGGCAGCTGGAATAGAAAAGGAATCACTAAGAAAAAGATGGCTGGAGGAAGTGGTCGGGATGGGAGATGTGTGCAGAAAGTAGATAAAGGACCAAACATGATGACCTCTCTGTGTCTGTATTGCAAACCATAATACTCAAAAGTAGAGAGAGATTATGGGAAATCATTTCTGCCATGGAGGCAGGGGGAGGATCGGAAAGGGGGGGTATACGGGTGATATTGGTGGTGGGGAATATGCACTGGTGGAGTGATGGGTGTTTGATCATTGTGTGATTGTAGCCCAAACATGAAAGCTTGTAACTATCTCACGGTGATTCAATAAAATTACAAAAAAACATATAATTTACAGTATGTTTATTATCCTTTATAACTTTTATAAATTTAAAAGGCTTTTTAAAATTTGTAGTTTTATCTCATTTCTCCATGTCCCCCTTTTTATTTTTTAAGTTTTTAAAAATATTTTGATCTCACCCAACCTGCAGAAATCACAAACTGAGGGAAGGGGTCACCATTTTTTTTGTAGGATATAAGACATCTAACCCAGGTTTGCTGCATAGAAAATAAGTACTTTATCTCTATTACATTTTTTTATGAAGAATTGGGGTCTTTTGTTTCCTAGAGATGTCCCAAGGCTGAATCTTGCTGATTGGGATCAGATTGTTAAGCTTCAGATCTTTATAGTTTCCATAATTTTTTTTTAAAATCTAAAGACTTGAATTAGTGAGGCTCCTGGGCTGCATTACAACTTGGTTACATGTGGAGGCTTCCCCTTACTAACAAGAAGAAGAAACTTTCAGTCTGGGCCCAGAGAGTTAGTACAGGGACTGAGGCACCTGCCTTACACTCAGCAGACCCTGGTTCGATTCCCTGCATTGCACATGGTTCCCTGATCCATCCAGGAGTGATTCATGAGCACACAGAGGAGCAAATGCTGAGCACTGCTCGGATACTCCCCTCCATCCCCTACCCACTAAAAAATTCTCAGACAATATGAGGATGTCTGGTATCAGCTCTGATACTGTCTGCCTGGAGAGTTGTTGCTCAGGTACAACAGTATTATCTCCTATTGTATCCTGCCAATTAAAGACCCCAGTTGCAAGTCCCAGGTATTTTCTGTGTTTCTGAGGAATCAATTACAGATGGGAGGTTCCCACAGCCCCCCCTCAGACAATAGGTGCCTCTTGAAAGTCCAATTCTTTGGTTATATATATGGTTTTTTATATATATAATATAAGTATACTTATATTTAGTTCACTTCTGATAAATGAGGTTATAAGTCAGTTTCCAAGAACCTCCTCCTCAGGTTCAGTTAACTTGATAACTCAGCTCAGAGAACTTAGAAGAGCCACTCACTAGGGTCACTGATGTTTTACAATGGATACTTAAGGCTATGAATCAACAGTCAGATAAAGAAGTACCTAGGTCAAGGGCTTGGGGGATAAAAGGAGTTTCTAGTCCTTATGATACCAGAATCATAGCGCAGAAGCACATGCAAATATTCTGGTTCCCCAACTGAAGCTCTCAGACTCTTTCCCAGGGAGTTTTAGGGAGCTGCTTTATGGCACTGATGATTACTGTCCTTTAACAATTGAACTCAACCTCCAACCTCCAACCCCTCTCCACTCCCAAGAGGTCATGGCATGGGACTAGAAATTCCAACTAGTTTCTCTAGCCACATGGCAACCAGTGCCTAACTGTTGCCACTTCCCCCCACAAATTACTGTGACGAACGTAGAGATACCTTTTCGCTCTCCACATCACTGTGTCTTTATATTACTGTCATCCCGTTGTTCATCAATTTGCTTGAGCAGGCACCAGTAATGACTCCATTCGTCCCAGCCCTGAGATTTTAGCAGCCTCTTCTTACTCATCCTTTCCAAAGGTGCCACATTGGAGGCTCTTTCAGGGCCAGGGGAATGAGACCCCCTCTCCACATATTTTGGAAATTACAAGACTTTTGGGAGCTATGGATGATCACAGATACAACAGAGAAATGTAATTTGGTCATCTGACTGACCAAACAATGATTCCAATAAATCACAACACCACAGTGAGAATTACTTTTAACAAAGAGAACCAACTTCCAATGTGGTGAGAATCTCTGTGAAAAATGGTGAGCTTCTGGTCACAGGCTGTCATCCCATTCCAATAGAATGGATGAAGTTTGAGGAGATGACTTTTTTGCTTTTATTTTAGTTTCTATAATTTAATTTTAGGCCCCAGAGAAGGGAAAAACAAACTCCATAAGCACTTTATTAAGCACTCACTTGAGCAAAAGTCCTGTGCCAGCAGCAAGCAAAGCACAGAGAACCCAGACTTTAATTAAAACTGCTGGAACTGCAATACTCTTCTGGCTTCCCCTTTCCTCAGCACAACTGACTGACAAGTGGTTAACATGCTGCACTCCTTCAATGCTGCATTGACAAAAAAACATCAACTCAAAATCTCATTAAAGGACTGCTGTTTCAGTTTTCCTGACTGACCAAGCCATTTGTGACTTTGGCTGTTAAGTATTTGCACTCCTCCAGTCTATGGTTGGTCTAAGCCTCTGAATAAACCAACCACAAAAAGTGATGCTTTCCTCTTCAGGACTCGAAGGCATTGCTGGACTTACTACTGCTGAGGCAGGAGTGACAGCACAATGCAGATGCCTGACTCAGGTGCACGAGGGACCACCTCCCACCAATTAACGTACATTGCCCTTGACTAGGAACTACAAAGGGATTGTACCTCTGACTAGAAGTGGTCAGAGGAAAATTGAGTCTGGCAGGAGAACTCCATTACTTTGATGATCCTGCTTGTTCCATTTATACCTTAGCAAGCTCAAGTCTTTCATTAGAACTATTTCTTTTTCTGAATTCAGGAAAAAAAGTGAAATAGAATGCCAGCTACTAAAATGATAAAGTATTGCCAATGTGAAGTGATTTACTCAAGTCAGAAGAAAGAACACTTAGCTCAATCCCAGAAAAGTTCATCTATATAAATACATTTTTTAAATGCCTACCATATAAAAATCAAATGGTTACATTGGAGGTCCCCAAGAGTAATGGTGGATGGTGTCTTCCCTTAATGAAAGGGACCTGGTTGAAGGTTACCTACACCTACCTTAATTTTTGCATTTAATTAGAGCTATAATATCCTGAGAAACATGCATGAGGCATTTGTGTATTGCCTTATTGCTAGATCAGGATTTATATACACAAAAGGCAGACTGGTTGACAGCTCAGGACACCTTTAAGCAAATCAGGTTTGCTTTTAGTGCTGTTTTAATTGGTGGAAAGTACATTGAAAATGATGCTTGGTTAAACTTCGGTCCTGGCTGGTGAATGGCAGGCCCTTTCCTGGAGGTGGGTTTCTCTGAACACCTGGGCATGCCTGGATATGCCTGGTCATAACTGGGGGAAAAAAATAGCCTCGCAATTCCGCTTTAGTTAGTGCTCAAATGACTACAGAAATGTTTCAGGTTTTTTGTCAAGGGTGAGCACAGGGTGGAGGTACTTAACCTTTTACTTTCTGTGTTTCTGTGTGGTTTGGAGTTTTCTCTTTTAACCACATCTTGCGTTTTGGAAGAGCCTGCAATGCAGGCACGCAGATGGCCTTGGGTTTAAGTTGTGAAAGTTAGAAGAGTGCAATTTACCTGAGAGAGCTAGCGTACAGTCTAAAGATTCAGTGGTGAGCAATATTTTAAATTTGTGTAAGCTGTTTCCTCAGACACAAGTGTTTTGGAAAATTCCATGCGCCTTCATATGTGCTTCAAGAACTATCTGATATTCACGAATGCAACACAAAATATCAATTTCTTCTGTCATTTACAGATCTCATTGGCCTACCATGGGTGTGTTTTATATATACAATTATGAGCCTGGCATCCTTGGGTTTTGTTGTTCTGTTTATACCTGAAACTAAAGGATGCTCTTTGGAACAAATATCAATGGAACTTTCTAAAGAGTAAGTATTCTGTGCATTGCTCTCTGAATCTCACTGCCAAATATACTGCTTTTATTTACAAATAGAAAGTAATAGCATCTGAAATTTTTCTAGAATATTCCATTTTGTGTGAAATCCTAGCTCAAGGAATAATCCCAATTCCTCTGCTATGTGTTTAATTTGAATGATTCAGTAAAGAATGTGAAAAATCAGTGTTCTGGCAAGTGAGTAAGCCTTTTAAAAATGTTTTCAGTAGTGGTTAAAGAAGAAGAAAAAAACTCCACCATGCCATTTTTGCCCCCCTAAAAGGAGAGTAAGGCTTTTGATTGTTTGCTCGAGCTTTGAGGCAGATCTAGGAATATCGCTTTCATTCTGTGGATTCCTGCTCTTTCTTCTCCATCACATGCGCAGGCCTCAAAAGCCCAGACCTTTGTTAAAACTAGAATTTCCTGAAATTCTCAGAAAAATTCTTGAGCTTAAATGCCTGTAATCACTTTTAATTGGGCACAATTAAAGTGTTAGACATAGTTTCTTCTATGATTAGACATTTAGGAAACAGATCAAATGAATTTTACTTAAAAAAATTATTTAGAAAAAAATTATTTAGACAATTCAACTTAGAAATGGCTTTTAGAAACTGTCCTTCTTAGTGGCAGAGCTCAGAGCTATTAATGCTGAAATCTGGTCTCAGGGAGGGAATGGTAAGCAGGGATCAGGAAGGAAGAAGAAAGTTTTTACTCTTTTTAAGATTTAACTCTTGGACTTCACAATCTACAAAGAACGGCTCTTGGGGTTTTAATGTGATTTTATTGCCTTGTCATACTATAATAAATATGTAGAAGAAACTACACATATTAGTTAATGATTTTCTTTTAAAAAATTTCAGTCTATCAAAGAGGAAGGAATGATCATTACAGAAATTTTTAACGTAGGAAGTTCTCAGCTTTTTGTTAAGGAAGAAGAATAAACCAGATAGTTGAATTGATGATAAGTATATTATTACAGTTTCATAGATCAAAGTGTTAGTCCTGAATATTAAAGTGTATATTAAGTATTGAATATGTTATATTTATTTATAGTGAGTAATATAAATATAATATATATTTCACAACAGAATTGTGAAAACTGTTCATTTTGTATTTTATGCATTTTGAATGATTTACATTTAAAAAAATTTTCACTGAAAGACTGCTCTGAATTCAAGCATAAGTTAAAAATCAAATTATTGAGCCAATTTTTGTGTGTTTTAGGGGCTTTGCCCCCCAGTGCTTAATCCTGGCTCTGTACTCAGGGATCACTCCTCAAAGTGCTTGAGGAATCATAGGGGATGCTGGGGATGAACCCCCCAGAGTAGTTACATGCAAGCTCAGTTCTCTTTCCATACATCTATCTATCTATCTATCTATCTATCTATCTATCTATCTATCTGTCTCTCTTTCCAGCTCCTGGGCTAATTTTTGATGGTGATAAAGCCCTGATTAATGTTTTCAATGGCACCTTGTGTTTATTTTATCTAAACTTTGACTATAATGGAAAACAACAAAGTAAATAAACAAAAACAAAGCAAATCATATTCAAAAGTATCACTACTATAAAATAACAAGCTGCCTATGCCCCTGATTTAATGCAGCTTATACAATTATGCTATTGAAGGTGGCCTCCTGCAAGATAGTTCTCGTTTCATGACACTCAGCTGCACAGCAAGCACAGGAAATCTAAACCAGTTCTCCCTAAATGAAAAAAAGGTAGGGGAATTACATGAAACCTCAAGAAATTGTAGCTTCAGACCTTAAATGGATGAGTTTGGGGTATGCTAGCTTATTCCCATATAATTTTCATGTAATGTTGTGTACTAAATACCTACAAAATTGATAGTTTTATCAGATAACCCGAACACCACTTTTTTTTTAAGACACTGTGATTAACAAGTTATTGAGTTTAAGCATAGTATGTTCTTGCAGCAGTCCCACTATCAGTGTCATTTCCCTCCACCAGTGTTCCCTCTAACCTCACCCCAGCCCTCAGCCTGATGGGCACATTTTAAGTTTGGTGGTTGTGGTTCAGATCTCCTGCTTCCTTCATTACTGACTCTGCGGTGTGGATATGGAGTTGTACCACTCCTCTACACTGCTGATGTACCTGAGACCCTTCATTCCTGACCCCTGCTACTACCCATTCTCAATTTCTTTCCTTCTCTCTGTCCTCTTCCTCCCCATATACTGGAGTCAGGAGTAATTTAGATATCTCACTTTTACTACATTGCATTCCCTGGTCCAGTTATACCACATAGAAGTAAGATTGACCTATGTTTGTTCTTTTTCTTCTGGCTTACTTCACTTAACCTGTCATCTTCCAGTTGCATCTGAGTTGCAGCAAATTACATGATTTTATCATTTTTTGTAGCTTCTTAGTAGTCCAATGTGGATATCTACCACACCTTCATGATATGTTCATCTGTCATTGGACACCTAGATGAATTCCATATTTTAGCTATTGTATTAAGTGCTGCGATGAATAATGGTGTGCAGCTGTTTGATAAGGCCCCGGTTTTAAACTGAATGTGAAGATACTCCTTTACAACAAGAAATATAATTGTCACTTGGTTAATGTCCTTGTCTTGATCTAAAATGAAAATGAAGACAACTCATTTACAAAAATAAATATAATTGTCAATGATTTTGCCCTTGCCCAATCAGCACATTGCATGATTATGCATGCTAGCTAAAGTCAATGACTGAATTTCTTGTCAACCCAAGGATCTGAACAAGACTTGAATTACAAATATATGATCTGAATAGCCTTGGAGGCTAGCCATATGGCTATGTTAAAGAATACAAGCCTCATATGCTTGAGGACCTGCATTTGATTCCTGGCACCGCAAAAACAAACAAGAAGCAGAAAATAGCCTCAGACTTTAGTAACTAAATACATTCATTTGTAAATTGGAAATGTAAATTCCAAAAGGCAGAATGGAAGACAGAAATTAGATGCCAAAGATAGGCTTCCAAATCTATTAAACTTCTTCATGTATGGTCCTTTTCTTGAACTACTTTGTGTATTATTTAGGTACAACAAAACACCCCCAAATGCAGTGATTTAAAGTGAATCCAGTTACTATTCCCTATGATTCTTTGGTTTGGCTGGGGGGTGCCTTGGCTGTCTTCACCTGCACGCCCTCATGTGGCCTATCAACAGACCTATCCAGTTGGACGAGAAGGTTCAAGAGCTCACCCCCAGGGGTTGCTACTGCTGGCGCGACCAGGAGCTTCAAATCTCCTTCAAGGACTTCATGCTGCAGGAAGTAATGTGGCTTCTCACGCATCAGACTCAGGCTGCATTCCCAGGAGTGGAGGCAGGGGCTGCAAAGCTCTATCAGTTTTCTATTCTGGAAGTCACACTTTATCACTTCTGCCTTTTTCAATCTCTCGCACAAATCTCAAAGGCAATTAGACTCAAGAGATGTGAAATAGACATAACTTCAGAATAGAAAGGGTTTTTTAGCTTTTTGGGTTTTTTTTTTTTTTTTTTTGCATTTTTTCTGTGGGGTGGGGGCTGCCACACCCAGCTTTGCTCGGGTCTTATTCCTGGCTCTCTTCTCATGGATTATTCCTGATGGGCTCAGGGGACCATATGGGGTGCTTGGGATTAAACCCTGGTCTGTTCAATCCCCTGAACCCCAGATGGTCATACACCCAGAGAGATAGTACGGTGCCAGACCTTCTGTACAATCTCTCTGACCCCACACAAAGAATTTTTAAAAAATTTACCACACCTACTCTTTCTCTTAGGTTCAATGAAACATTCTTCTTCCCTGGTTCCCCTCCATCTTCACTGACTCTTACCTCCTAACTTCTTTTATTCTACAGTGTAATTATCTTTGAACCATTAGCCCCATAGCAGTGTCTTCAGGGCCAATTCAACTATTCATCCCAATGCCCTGAATAACTGAAAAGCTTTACTTTCTCCTGAATTTTCAATTATACCTGGCCTTGTTTTCTTCTATACTGCCTTATCTCACAGTGTGGTTTCACCTTCTTACTTAAATGATAGAGAATTGATGTTCAGGAATGGTATTTGGTTTTCAGTATCTTCCCTTATGTAATTTCTAAAATTTCTGGCTTAAAAATATTGATTCTTAGAAGATGACCAAAATATACAGACTGTTCAAGTCGCTATCTTGTGGACAAAGCCAATGCTGAATTCCCTGTGTGTGGGGATTATGTATGAGGATGGAGACCCTCATATCCCACATTATGATAGCAGTATAAACCATACAATGTGTGACTCATTCTCTATTTAACATATAGATATAGTGAGGGTAGGAACAGGAGAAAGGTGTTTAGTTTGAGACCTGCTGGCTTTATTATACCACTCCCTTTCCTGTCACTTCAAACATTATTTCTCCAGCTATTTGTTGATAATCTACTACAGAACCAGACATTGCAATTAGAAATAGCTGAAGATAAAGGGAACAAAGAATCCATAGACTCTAAGAGGCAAATGAGAATAGACTGCTGCAATCCACTAGCTTAAAACGCACAGGAAAAATTACAGTCTGGGGTCTGGAGTGATAGTACAGTGGGCAGAGCATTGTATTGCATGAGACCAATCCAAGTTTGATCCCCAGCATCCCCTTGTGCTCCCCAACTGTACCAAGAGTGATCCCTGGAGTAAGAACCAGGACTAAGCCCTGAGTACCATCAGGTGTGGTCCAAAAACAAATACAAGTTATACTCACGAGAGGGTTTCATCTAAAAAGCTCCCTGAAAGACTATTTATGCTGAATGTTAAAGTTGTTAAGGGCAAAGGGGAATGTGTGGGAGTCCATGCAGAGGTTGGGACACTCAACAGGGTGGTATAAGGAGGACGGGTTTTGAGTTGAGAATCGGGAAAAATGTCTGGAGCACCAGGGAGAGAGCAGTCAGGAAAGAGCTTGTCTGCATTGGTCAAAAGTCTGCGTTTTCGAGTGCCCCAGAACAGGTGACTGGTTAAAGAAATCATGGACCATAGACACAATGAAA